CGAGTGCCCCTGAGTTCAATCCCTGGTACACCCTCCCCTGTCCCCACACACACACAAAAAAAAAAATAGAGTGATTTGGGTAGGTGTGGTGTTTGAGAATGACAACCCAGGTCTAATGCAGAGTCCCTCAAAGAAGGGAAAAACATTGTCTTTTGCCTCACAAGCTACATCAAGTCCTAAAGACCCCCTGTTTGTTGGAAAGCAATGTGCTCTTCACAGGCTACCCGAGGTAGGGTAGGAAAGAAATGGAAAGAGAAGTATAGAAAGGACACCGATCTGAAAGTCTTGAATGTGAAGACTCCCTCCCACCCCCACAGCCAGTTCTCTCCCCCACACCTGGGACTCCCAAACTTCTAGGAAATCCATAAACCTTCACTCACAATCTTAAAGTTAATGGAAACTCACTCACTCATGAAAATTGCCCCATGAATTGCACTACGAGTTAGTCCACACATATTTTTTAGAAGAGGCTGAGCAAAAGAAGATACAAAGCCTTTATGTATAGAATACTTTTGCAGAAACCTATAATGTAGGGTGCTTTCCCCATGTATGATCAGGTAAGGGTGAAGATGTCGACCTAAGATCCTGAGAATTGTCAGACTGCCATAGACCGTCTTGAGATCCCCAGACTGCTGTCCCCTGCACATACCTTCCCACACCCGCCCCTTCGGGACCCCAGAGCACATGCCGTTCTTGAGATAGCCCTCCTTCTCCACTGAATGTGTCTCGTCTTTCCTAAGGGAATCTCTCTCTGTGTCCCGACACATCCTTGAATTCATTTCTGTGATGTTTGTTAAGACCTCCACTTGTCCCAGGTTGAGGTCCCCTCTCTGGAAACTCCTCAAACCTCCTCCAGTGATGTACCTGTCACAACAGGATAATAATCACTTTTAAACATATTTTAAAGGTACCCGTTGGATTCTGGATATCACTGGTGGCTTTGGTCTGACCACAGGGGTCATGTTTCTGAAGCTTTATTTCTGAGGTTCTGGAGAGATGAAGGAGAGGATGGAAAGGTCAGAGTTGAGCATTGATATGGTATCTTTATGAAGTGCCCATAATCAATGGTACTTCTTTGTCCGGGCCACTGTTGCCTCTAGATAAGACCTTTGAACCACATTTGTGTTTTAAATTAAAAAAATAATGTCTGGTGTGGCAATGCATGCCTGTGATCCCAGAGGATCAGGAGGCCGAGGCAGGAGGGTAGAAAGTTCAAGTCCAGCCTTAACAATTTGGTGAAGCCCTAAACAACTTAGTGAGACTCTGTCTCAAAATAAAAAATAAAAAAGAGCTGGGGATGTGGCTCAGTGGTTAAACACCCCTCGGTTCAATCCCTGGTACCAAGTAAATAAATAATTAAAAATAACCACTACAGGGGCTGGGAATGTAGCTCTGTGATAGAGCATGTGCTTCACAGGTGGAAGGCCCTGGATTCAATCTGCAGCACCAACAAAATAAAAAATGGGGTTAGGTGTGTAGCTCAGTGGTAAAGTGCTTGCCTAACATGCACAAGGCCTGGATTCAACCCCCAGTACTGCAATAAATTCGTTAACTAATTAATTAACAGAATAGTAATTAACCATTGAAATGAATGAAAGTGGCTGTCACCTTGTATTATGAAAGGACCTATTCCTTGTAATGAAGGAAGGGAGGTATGGCTTCATACAGATGGGACAACTAGAAAAACACCACTCTGGATTTTCATCCTGAGCAGTTGAGGTTGCTGAATAAACCATTTACTGAAAGACCAATCCCAGCAGCTGAAAAATCTCCAAGGCTCTAACTAATGACCCTGTTATCTCTGAAGATGTGCCCCAACCTCTGTCTGCCTACTGGAGGTCAGACCTGGTTCCTTGCTGCGTCCTTCTGTATAAGAACATCTATGAATTGCCGACACCCCTCAGGGGTGTCAGAAGGCAGGAGACATGGTCAGTGTTCAAATTGTCCTCAATTTTGTCAATATTATTGGATATTATCCAATGTGCACGAGAGTGACTACTCATGTGGTCATCGCAAGAATTAAATAAGGCAGGCTATGTGCTTAAAATATGGGTGGATGGATTGATTATAAATGCAATGGTTTGAAATGGTCTGGGGGGCTGGGGATGTGGCTCAAGCGGTAGCGTGCTCGCCTGGCATGCTTGTGGCCCGGGTTCGATCCTCAGCACCACATACAAACAAAAGATGTTGTGTCCGACAAAAAATAAATAAATAAATAAATAAATAAATATTAAAAAAAAAAAAAAAGAAATGGTCTGGGCTGTGGCGCTCTGAGCAGATTTGCAAGCGGGGTGGCGAACACAGTGGTCAACACGGTGTTCCTCAGAGTGTAGACTACAGGGTCCCTAAGGGTACCCCAGGCCTTTTCAGCAAGTTGTGGAGGGAAAAATTATTTTCGTAATCATACAAAGACATTATTTACCTTTTCACTCTTACCCACTCAGGAGTGTTACTGGAATTTTCCATAAGCCACACACATATGATAAGATCCTGAATCCAAAGTCTAAGAGAATGTGTCTTCCTATTCTTGGGTTTTAAACTATTCTCAGTTTTCATTAGTGGTTGCTAAAGAGTTGGAGGAGAGTGGACTGGTTGACTCAAAGGGACAGGGATAATTTTGGGGCAGTGGTGAGTCTATATTTTGATTGTGGTGGTGGTTACATGGCTGTGTGAATTTGCCAAAACTCATCAAACTGTACACTGAACATGGGTGAATTTTACTATGTAAATTAATATATCACTTCAAAAGTAAAAATTATTTCTCAATTTCTTCCTTTCTTCTTTCTTTTTTTCTTCATATCAGGGATTGAACCCTGGGGTGCTTAACCACTGAGCCATACCCCCAGCCTTTTTTTTTTTTTTTGGTATGTTTATTTTGAGACAGGGTCTTACTAAGTTGTTTAGGGCCTTGCTAAGTTGCTGAGGTTGGCTTTGAACTTGTGATCCTCCTGCCTCAGCCTCCTGAGCCTCTGGGATTACACGCATAGGCCACCCTGCCTAAATCTCAATCTCAATTTCTTTTTTTTTTTTAATATTTATTTTTTAATTGTAGTTGGACACAATTTTATTTTACTTATTTATTTTTATGTGGTGCTGAAGATCGAACCCAGGGCCTCGCACATGCTAGGTGAGCGCTCTACCACTGAGCCACAACCCCAGCCCCTCAATTTCAATTTCTAATAGGATAAATATAATGAATTAGAACCCACATGTACAAAAGCTCTCAGTTTTTACAAAGGACTCCTGAGACCAACACCTTTGAGAACCACTGCACTAACAAATGTCTTTCTTTGGCACTGGGGATTGAATCCAGCGTTGCTTTGCCATTGAGCTAACTCTGCAGTCCTTTTTATTTTCTATTTTGAGACAAGGTCTCCCTGAATTGCGGAAGCTGCCCTTGAACTTTCAATCTTCCCGCCTCAGCTTCCTGATTCACTGGGATCACAGACACATGCAGTATGCCCAGCATGTGTAGATTTCTTTGGGGAAGCAATTGGAACTCAGTCTGGAGTTGAGGAAAGTGATTAAAAAGGAGATAAAAACCTCTCTGGCCTTCATGCTCTATAAAGTGTATTGCCAACGTGGAGGCCACTAACCACCTGTGGCTTCTAAGCACATGAAAATTAAGTAGCTCATGGGCTGGGGATGTAGCTCAGTGGTGCACGTGCTCAGCAAGTTCAAAGGTTCCATTGCTAGTAAAACACACACACACACACACACACAGCCTAAATTGAGAGGGTCCAAAAAGACTATAAATTATTTCACTACTAATTTTATATGGAAATGACAATATTTTAGATCCAGAAAATTTTACCATTAAAATTTATTTTCACCCCTTGTTTTTTACCTTAATTTAATTACTGAAAAATTGAGAATTACTTATCAGCTCCCTACTCTATTCCTGTTGGACAGTGCTTTTCTGGAGATAGCCAGACTTGACTGCCAAACTCCATCCCACCTCTTACAAGCTGCATCAAAGTCTTACTACATCTCCAAATTTCTTGGATTTTTCTGGAATGTAAAATGTGGGTAATGTTGAATTTGTTATGAAGATTAAATACAGTCGTACTTGGCAACATGTACTGAGCACTTAAGGGAACAGGAAGTTTGGGGCTATTATCCCTTAAGACCTCAGTTTCCCTATTGGCACCCTCGGAAATCGTCCACGTGCTCATGAAAGGTCTTTCCTCTGCAACCCATTTCCACCCTGTGACAATATAATGGCAGTGTTACTAGGAATTCACCCTGTGCACCTTGGCTCTTGTGCTCTAAGGAGAGATTTAGAGTAAGACGCGAAATGTAGCTAAAGTGTAGCTAGCAGCCGGGTGCAGTGACCATGCCTGTAATCCCAGCAGCTAGGGAGGCTGAGGAAGGAAGATCTCAAATTGGAGGCCAACCTCAGCAATTTAGGGAGGCCCTAAGCAACTTAACGAGACCCTGTCTCAAGATAAAAAATAAAAAAGGTTGGGGATGTGGCTCAGTGGTTAAGTGCCCCTGGATTCAACCCCTGGTAGTAGTAGTAGTAGTAATAATAATAATAATAAAGTGTAGCTAGCGAAGTCGATGGCGGAAGTGGGAGCAGACCCTCGCAGTAAATTACAAATACAGTAAGGTTAAAATGACACGCTAAGGAACGCAGGGAGTCTCGGGCTGGGATTCCTGGGCCCTGGGAATACACGATGCTCCCGGCCTCTCACGGAGGCCGCCTCCACTGCCGGACGGGCCCTCCCCCTCCACACTGAACATATGGCCCAGGGTCCTTCCTGAAACTGGGTCGGTCATCTGCATTTGTGAATGGAGTCTGGATAAAATGTGAAAAGGAAGCGGCCCAGAGCAGGTGGGCCTTTCTTAGCAACAGTCCTCCGCTCCCGTTGCTAACGAGGACAGGAAAAACAAAGAGGTGGTCCGTGGGCTATTACTCTCCGGTGGCCGCCACTTCCGGTCCTCCCGGGGAGCTTGTCCTTCGGCCTCGTTTCCCCCGAAGAGCTGCGATTGTGGCCGTGGGTTCCGCCGCCGCGGGAGCCTGGGGAGCCCTCCGGCGGGCGGCGGCGGCGGCGGAGTCGGAGGGGCAGCGGCGGGGCAGCGGCTGGCCTCCGGCGCGTCCGCGATGTTGAGCTCCCGGGCCGAGGCTGCGCTGACGGCGGCTGACAGGGCAATCCAGCGCTTCCTGCGGACCGGGGCGGCCGTCAGGTGAGCTTCGCCGGCGGGGGCGGGGCGAGCGGGAGGCCGGGACCGAGGCTGCAGCCGGAGCCGGCGGGGCCTTTTCTCGCCCTGGTCGGGTCCTCCCGGTGGACGCTCCCCAGGCCTCTGCGTCCTGACGGAGGGAGGCCCGGGCGCCGAGGCGGGAGGGGTGACAGGCCTATCAGGGCCTCCAGCCCTGCGGCGACACCGGTTCCGTCAGCGTCCCCAGTTCTGTCGCTGGCCCCACCCCGCGCCATTGCCACCATGCTGCCAGCGTCCCCGACTTCGAGGGCCTCCCAGTCCTGTCTAGGCCCCGGTGCCACCGAGCCCTCTAAAGCCCCCAAAGGCCTGCGAGGCCCCTCGATCCTGAGCCCCCCATTCATATCGGTCCTGGATGCCAGGTTCTCTGCCAACCCCAGTCCTCTGTAGCTCCCACGGTCTTACCAGTGCCTCAGGCCTGCCAGACATCCCCCCCCCCCATTTTGTCCATACTCCTGTTAATGTCAGTCCCCCCCTCCAGTTCTGCTAGGGATCCCCACTTCTGTCTGAGTCCTCAATCCTTTTCATGGGACTGAAGACCCTTGGGAGGGCCCCTAAACCAGACCAGGCCCCTTGATCAGTGAAGATTGCCTGGTCCTGCTGAGGCTTAAGGCCCCCCGCCCTTTCCTGGTATGATACCTGTGTCCCCAGTCCTGTCATCGTGTCTGTCTTATCCGCTCTCTCCAGGGTGCCAGGCTTCAGAGCTGCTTGCTGCACCCCCATTGCTGACCCTAAGTGACTGAGACCTGTTGCTCAGGTTTGCTTCCTTTGGAACTAGAGCAGGTCGAACGAGTTCATTATCCCAGGACTGGAAGCCCTCAATGCTTGCCCTGTCCAGGGCCCCCATTCTGTAGGTGGAAAATGAGCCTTGAGCTGGCCTTGCCCAGGACCTGATGGCAGAGCCGGAAGGAGAAGCCAGATCTCTTCACTCCCAGGCCCTGACATTCTGCTCATGATGTCGTTTTTGCAGAGAAATTGAGTTTGCAAAGTCATCATTTTCCCCTGGGATTCTCGTCCCTGCCCTGCTAAGGACCTGGGCAAGTCCTCTCCCCAGCCTTTCAACACTGCCTTTCGGTTTCCCTCGTGAACTTTGGTTTTAAGCACAGACTTTGGAGCCAGCTAGTCGTGGATTCAGAGCCACATTCCCTCACTCAGTCACTCAAGTGACTAAGTTGGCCACATCTCCCAGATCCTTCATCTTGGATGTCAGCAGAACCTACTTTCACAGGGTTTTTTTTTTTTTTTAAATATTTTTTAGTTATAGACGGACACAATTTCTTTATTTTGTTTATTCATTTCTATGTGGTGCTGAGGATCGAACCCAGTGCCTCACACATGCGAGGCAAGCGCTCTGCCACTGAGCCACAACCCCAGCCCCATACAGGGTTGTTTTAAGGATGAGATAAGATTATCAATAACAGTGCCTGGCATAACGTATGCATGCTTAAGTTTTAGTATTTGATCAGGAGATTTTTAAAGTGCTGCTCAAGTTCTTTACATTTCAGTGTTTGTTCATTTTAGCATTTCCAGGCACTTTTAAAAAAATATTAGATGTTGATGAAATTCTTATTTTATTTATTTATTTGTATGTGGTGCTGAGAATCGAACCTAGTGCCTCACACATGCTAGGCAAGCACTCTACCGCTGAGCCACAACCCCAGCCCTCCAGGCACTTTTGTGAACACATTATGTAAAAATCAGCACAGTGATACATTAAGAAACTTCAAGAAAATGTCATGAATGAGCCTGAGATTATAATGCTTAATAATTATAGAAGTTGATACTTAAGCTCTTTTTATGTACCCTATGCATGAGTGCTGATGTAATCCTCAAAACAGCCCTATGAGGTGTGTCCACGATAATCATTGTTGAACAGATGAGGAGGCTGAGGGTTACAGGGTGAAATGATGTCCTAGGGAATAGCAAAGCCAGGCTTGAACTTGAGTAATGTGATTCCATTTTCTTAACTAAGTTCTGTGCATTCTTCTGATTCTGTCTTGGAAGATCAAAGGCCTATTTGAAATTCATTTGTCAGCTATGATACTAGAAAAATATAAAACAGTCACTATTGTCACTAGTGACTCTTCCCTTAGTTATGTTTACTGAGCTGAAATCAAAATTATATTTGGCTAGGTGTGGTGGTTCATGCCTGTAATCTCAGCTGCTTGGGAGGCTGAGGTGGGAGGATTACAAATTCGAGGCCAGCCTGGGGAATTTAGCAATACTCTGTCTCAAAATAAAATTTTAATAATGGCCTGGGGATGTAATTCAGTGGTAGAGTGCTTGCCTAGCATGTGTGAGACCCCCAGTATCTATAAAGTAATCAAATAAACCCCCCTATATTCACATAATCCATGTATTGGGATAAGAATTAGCTGGGCATGGTACTGCATACCTTTCATCCCAGCTACTTGAGAGGCTGAGGCATTTATTCTTAAAAAGGGCTAGGGATGGGCTGGGGCTGTGGCTCAGCAGTAGAGCACTCACCTCGCACGTGTGAGACCCTGGGTTCGATCCTCAGCACCATATAAAAATAAATAAGCAAAATAAAGATATTGTGTCTATGTATAACTAAAAAAAAAATTTTTTTTAAAGGCTAGGGATATAACTCAGAGGTAGAGTGCTTGCTTAGCATTCATGAGACCCTGGGTTTGATTTCCAATACTGTAGAAGGAAAAAAGAAAAAGTAAGAATATATGTGCTACACATATATAGATATATATTACACATAGAAATCCACATGTGTATGTGTTTGTCTTGGTGGAAATACAGAGCTTTGCATAAAAATAGTTTTTAAATTACTGGAGAAATTTCTTCATTTGTAGTAAAAGAATAAATTCTGTCTGTGTTCAGTTCAAGGCTGAAATTAAGAAATCCTTAATTTTAAAAATGTTCAGAAGATCTTTAATTATATGCTTAATATTTTAAAATCCATTCCAAAATATTTGCTACAGGAGTCAGTCATTGAGTAGATGTTATTGAGAACTTCCAATGTGCCAAGCAGGGCCTAGACACTTCTGACCCCTGCCCTCACTTGAGGGAGACGTACAATAAATGTACTAAGTGGATTTTATGTTAGAAGGTGATAAATACAATGGTTAAAAAAAACCCAGAAACATAGAATCCTGGTAGAGAAGGCCAGGAGTGCAGATTCCAGTAACAGGTTTGGGGTGGGTCTCTTTGAGAGGTGGAGGGTGGTGAAGAAGTGAAGGAGTGGGCCACGCAGTCTTCTGGGGGACGAGGCTTCTCGGGGAGCAGCAGTGCAGAGGCCCTGAGGTCAGGGTGTGGGCCGTGTGGCAGCCAGTGTATCAGTGGAGGGAGAGAAATTGTAGGAGGAAAACTTCTGCTTTTCTTCTGAGTGAGACACTTTTGAAAGGTCATATTTTTGTCTTAGATTTTAAATCTTATTGTCAAAACATCCTGATTTATTTTAATTTTTTTGGTGCTGGGGATTTGACCCAGGGCTGCTTTACTACTGAGATGCTTCTCCAGCCCTTTTCATTTTTATTTTGAGTAAGGGTCAGGGACTCACTCAATTGCTTTGGGCCTTGCTAAGTTGCTGAGGCTGACTTTGAACTTGGGATCCTCCTGCCTCAGCCTCCTGGGTTGCTGAGATTATAGCTGGGCAACATCCTGATTTTCAAAACATAATTCTGTTACTATATATTACATTAACTTTAAACTTAGGTATTTGGTAGGATATTTTGACAAAATGTTCTTCTTTTACCTATGGCAGTGTATCCATATGACTTGTCTGTAATGAGGGAAGACAATAAACTTATTTTCTTTTTTAGATACAAAGTTATGAAGAACTGGGGAGTTATAGGCGGAATTGCTGCTGCTCTTGCAGCAGGAATATATGTCATTTGGGGTCCCATTACAGAAAGAAAGAAACGTAGAAAAGGTAAGAATGGGACCATTGCCTTGTGGTGTTTTTATCTGAAAGCGGTATAGAAAGCTGGGGGAGTGGGTAGCTTTTTCTTCTCTCATATCTTCAAAATGAGGCCTTTGGTTGTGAAACAGTGCTTTTACATTGACTCATTTATTACTCTGTAATGAAAAGATTTCTACCCTGCCTTTGCAGACTTTGAGTTTAAGGCAGGCTTTGTAATGACGAATTTCAAGCAGCTTAATCAGCTCAGTGTTCTCACTAATATAGCAATTGTGTTTTTGGTAGTAAAATTGATTAATTATGTCACTCAGTTGTGGTTTCTCTGTCTAGCTACTGATAACCAATAAAAGTTTCAAGTTTGTTTCTTCATTAATAAAAAAATCTATTTCCTTAAGTGCTCCCTTATGTAAATATTGTTTTACTTAACATTGGTGAAAGAAAGAGAGTTGTAGCAAGATTTGATCATTGCTAAATCTGGGAATGGTAATAATTTGAGTTCATTATACATTCTTATGCATGTTTGAGAACTTTCATGTTTAAAAGTTTTACAAGATTTTCAGCAGAAGAGGGGATTATATCAGATTTTGTTGATCTCTTTGCAGAAAGATTGATCAGAATTGGTAGAGTGGTGTCTTTCCCAGTGGTTGTTATCAGAACAAAATCATTGTCCCCTGGGAGCAACAATGGAGCAATTGTTTTCTGTTCTGAGAAGTGTTGCTTTTTTATAGAAGTAGAGGGAACATGTGAGAGAATGACGCAGGGGAAGAGGAGGAGGTGGTCACCAAGTGTTCTCATACACTTGACAATAATCCAAGCTGTGCCAGACACTGTGGTGGAGTCAAAGCTAACATGAGACAGGGATGAGTCCTCCTGTCACTCACGTCTGTAGGGCAGAACTGGGACCAGGCCTGGGCACAGAAAGAAAGCCTGGCTCCCAGAGCTCATCAGATAAGGACCTGCTCAGATCAGGGTTCCAAACTTAAGGTCACCGTGTAGAAACTCTGGGTCCCAAATGGGAGGAAAAGAAAGTTGGTCCCGTGTGATGTGCTGTTCTTGTGTTCCTCCAATGTTTTTAGGGCTGGTGCCTGGCCTCGTCAACTTAGGGAACACCTGCTTCATGAACTCCCTGCTGCAGGGCCTGTCTGCCTGCCCGGCCTTCATCAGGTGGCTGGAGGAGTTTACCACCCAGTACACCAGGGACCAGAAGGAGCCGCCCCGGCACCAATACTTGTCCTTGACCCTGCTGCACCTCCTGAAAGGTATCTAGCGGCACTCCCAGGGGGTCGCGCACATTTTCAAGAAAAGGCCTAGATGGCAGACAAACAAAGGGTTATTAGCTTTTTTGTAGAAAAAGATCACGTAGATGGTCATGCAAAGATAGATACAAACAGGTGTATTTTTTAAAAATCAAAGATTAAACCATTTATTTAAAAAATAATATCAGCTTTTTTTAAAAAGGAAAAAATCCACTACCAAAGAAACATTTTGATTGTAAGAAGCACTCTAGTTTCAAAACCATTAAAGTTGAAAGGAAAAAAAAAGTGTGCCTTAGCCTAGGAAATAAGGGCAATCACAAAAATAAGTCATGTGGAATCCTAATAAATACTCCAGAATTAATCAAAGAAATGTAAACAAAATAATAGTGCCACTTAAATTTTTTAATATATTCTTTTGCCTGTCAGTAAAGATTAAAAATTCACAGTCCTGGCCACTGTCGGACAGCACTTCCACATGCTGCTGCTGATGGGTGGAGCTCCATGTATTCCTTCTGGAAGGTGGTTTGCAACTGCCCTGTAAGAGCTTGTGGAGTGTTCAGTACCATTTGGCCTCATACTCCCACATCTAGGAATCTGTCCTGAGAAAGTACTTAGGAAAATGTGTACTATGGGGCTGGGGGGGACCTCAGGGGTAGAGTGCTTGCCTAGCAGAATGAGGCTCTGGGTGTGATCCCCAGCACACACACACAAGAAGAAAACAAGACATGTGCACTGTGATTTATACTAGCCAGGAAAATGGGGTTCTAACAGCAAAAATTGTACGAATGGCTAAACACTGGCCTTCAACTGAGAAACTCTCAGTATGTATTGATAATGGTAAAGATTTGAAGTTACCTGTACAACTTCATTTTTTGTGGGGAGTGGTACCAGAGATTGAACTCAGAAACACTCGACCACTGAGCCCCATCCCCAGCCCTATTTTGTATTTTATTTAGAGACAGGGTCTCACTGAGTTGCTTAGCACCTCACTTTTGCTGAGGCTGGCTTTGAACTCATGATCCTCCTGTCTCAGCCTCCTAAGCCACTGGGATTACAGACATGTGCCACCGCACCTGGCTACAACTCATTTATTTAAATACTTTCAAATATTTATTTTGACCTTTTTAAAAAAAGTTATATATGACAGTGGAATGTATTACAATTCTTATTACACAAATAGAGCACAATTTTTCATATCTCTGGTTGTACACAAAGTATATTCACACCAATTCATTTCTTTATACGTGTACTTTGGATAATAATGATCATCACATTCCACCATCATTTATAACCCATGCCCCCTCCCTTCCCCTCCAACAACTCTTAGGGATAGGGAGAGAGGGAGCATGGGAAGAATAGACAATTTCATTTTTAAACTAAGTTTTTTGACTGCAGAACTGTCTTTCTTCCCTATAACATCTGTTAAAATCTCATAGGCAGGGCTGGGATATAGCTCGGTGGTAGAGTGCTTGCCTAGTATATATAGTCCTCTGACTTCAGTCCTCAGCACTGAAAAACAACAAAACAAAAAAAATTCATGGGTATTATGTAGAACATGATAGATACACAGAGGTCTCCAGCACAAGCCTATAATGGCAAAAAAAGAAAAAAACAAAAAGACCATGAATGGTTAAAATGGAATGCTTAAGCAATCAGTGATGTATAGCTATGCAGAATCATTTTTATAAAATCTTTTTAATTTGGGAAAGGCTAAATATTAAGTTTAAAAGAGCAAGAAACAAAATGTGATATAATGTCATTCAGCAAGGTAAAAACTTCCACAGATAAAGGCTGGACAGAAAAAGACCAAAGCATTAGCAGTGGCCATGCTGGTGTGTAGTTATTGATAGTTTTAAGAAACATTTTAAAAAATCATACTTCTGCCTTCAACAATAGCATGTATTTCTCTGATAGTCAGAACAAAAAATCAGACTTAAAAAACTTCCAGCTAAGATTGCTTCATTGAGGTATTTTGCCTTGGGAATCTCTGCTTGACACAAAAGTCTCTAGGAAACAGGTCTGCTCTTCTGTATAAGAGGTGAGTTGAGAATAATCCCCTTTCCGACCCTGTTTTAAAAAAATACCATTGCAATCCTGGTGCAGTGGTACACGCTTGTCATCCTAGCTACTCAGGAGGCTAATCCAGGAAGATAGCAAGTTCAAGGCCAGCGTGGGAAACTGAGACCCTGTCTCAGAAATAAAACATAATGGGTGTAGGACTTTGCTTAGTGGAGAGCATTTGCCTAGCATGTTTGAGGCCCTGGGTTCAATCCCAGTACTAAACAAACAAACAACCATTTAAACTATTTTTAAGCGTATAGTTCAGTGGTCTTAAGTACAGTCACATTGTCATACGACAGTCCCCACCACTCGTTTCCAAAGCTCTTCATCACCTTATACTGCAGCTGCACCCATCAGACAGAAACTCCCTCTCTCCCCTCTCTCCAGCCTTTTGGAGCACTGTTCTGTTTCTAAGATTTTGACCCTTACCTCATGGAGCCGTGAGATGCTGCATGTCCATGTATTTCATAAAAGTGGACCCTATAATATTTGTCCCTTGGTGGCTGTCTTACTTATTTCACTTAGTATAATGTCATCAGGATTCATCCACATTAGAGCATGTACCAGAATTTCATTCCTTTTTAAGGTTGATATCCATGTGCATGTACTGCATTTGGATTTTCCATTCATCCATCAGACAGGGGACATTTGGGCCTCCATCGTTGGCTCTCCTGAGTCACGCTGCTGTTAACATCAGTGTGCAGATATCCGTCCAAGTCTCTGCTTTCATTTATTTTCTGTGTAGATCCAGAAGAAGCCCTGATGGGTCAATTGGTAACTTTGTTTAAATTTTTGAAGAACCACCATTCTGTTTCTACAGAGGCCACACCAGTTTATCTGCCAGGCAGCAATGCAGAAGGGTCCGAGTATCTTCATGTCCTTGCCATCACTTGCTGTTTTCTCTTAGTTTAATGATAACCATCCTCACGGGTGTCGAGTGGTATGTTATTGTCTTAATTTGCATTTCCCTAATGATAAGGGATGTTGAGCATCTTCTCATTTGTTTATTGGCCATTCATATCATCTTTTTTGAAAAAAAAAGTCTGTTCAAGTCCTTTGCCTATTTTCAAATTAGGTTGTTCAGATTTTCTGTTGTTGAATTTTGCTAGTTCTTTCTGTGTTCTGGGTATTGATCTTGCATCAGATGTGTCATTTACAAATCTCCTCACCTTGGTGGCTGCACGGTGGCTGTATATTGAGATGCCTCTGTTTATTTCCCTCTTGTTTCCAGTGTCTCGTCACAGTCAGCAGGCTGTGGGGAGCATCCTGTGCACTGTGGGCTCTTGGGCATATAAGCACATGGGTCCTTAGGTAAATCCTGAATAAAGTCAAGCTGCTGGACTGGGGGACATGGAACTTTTAGCAGATATCGCCAGGTCACCCTGCAGCATTTATTTATTTATTTTTTCCCTAATGAATTTTTTTTTATTAGTTGTTCAAAACATTACAAAGCTCTTGACATATCATATTTCATACATTTGGTTCAAGCAGATTATGAACTCCCATTTTTACCCCGTATAGAGATTGCAGAATCACATCGCTTACACATCCACTTTTTTACATGCTGCCATACTAGTGTCTGTTGTATTCTGCTGCCCTTCCTATCCTCTACTATCCCCTCTCCCCTCACCCCGCAGCATTTAGACAAAGTCAGGTTAAAGGAGGCATTGGAAATTTTCCTGGGGAGAGAAAAAGTTCTCAGAAGGGCTGCCCAATGAATGCAGGAAGCAGGAAGACACAGTTCTTCTCAGTCCTTCCCTTTGTTCTGGAGGGTGGAGGACTGACCCCAGGATATGTACACTGATAGGTGGACCCTCAGGCCTTCTCAGCACTAACTGCCCAGGCTGCTACTTCTCACTTGTCCCCATTCAGGGTCACCAGGCATACTCAGACAAGGATGAGGGTGGTGATGGATTGGGGTGGGGTCAGAGTCCACACCCTCCAGAATCAGAGCTTAGAATATATTTTAAAGGAGTCTCTCTCAAGTCCGCTGACTGCAAATCCAAGATGAGAAACAGGCTGACCTACTTGTCTGCAAGTCATTGAACTTTCAGAACACCCCCACCCTGAGGTGGCAGGCTCGACTTCTTCTCTCCCACACTCTAGCAGTACTGGTCCAGTGTGGTCTCCTACGGGGGGGGGGTGGTTGAGATCAGCAGTCAGGCCAGGCGCTGGCACAGCCTGTAATCTCAGGGACTCCGGCTGAGGCAGGGGCATCACAAGTTTGAGGACAGCCTCGGCAACTTAGTGAGACCATGTCTGAAAGTAAAATATTTAAAAAGGGCTGGGAATGTAATTCAGAGGGAGAATGCTCCTGGGTCAAAGCCTAGTAACACACACACACACACAAACATACACACAAAAATCAGCTGTCATCTCCCTGTAGCCAGTGGGCCAAATCGCTCCCCTTCGTTTTTATTAATAAAGTTTTATTGGAACACAGCCATGCTTATTTGTTCAGGCACTGCCTGTGGCTGCTTTTGTGCTGCAGCAGCAGTTGAGTGGTTGCAACAAAGAACATGCGACCCTTTACAGAGAAAGCGTCAACCTCTAGATGTATTTATAAATTCACAAGCCAATCAAACTTCTATTTTCCTTTATTAGGATTGCTTCTACGCTTGACTGACAAGTGAAGCTCTTAGCAGAGTTTTCTGGCTGCCACACACACCCTGACACGCTCTGCTGTGGTGGCCAGAAGCTCAAACGCATACAAGCACAGCGAAGGCCTTGCCAGGGGAGGGCTCGGTGTGGAGGGTACACACTGGTTACCCACTGGGTGTGGGGTGGACTAGATGAGAGTTTGAGGCCCCTTCCCACCCAGAGAATCGTGAGCTAAAATAGTTTTACTCAATAAGAACCTTGCATCAATAGATTTAGATTGACTATGGTAACTCAAAGATCAGAAATCAGTTACCGCATTTAAATACTGCAGACTCAAAAACACTAGATCCACTCGACAAACATGAAGTGCTAATAGCATAGTAAGCACAAAGCTACAATGAATGATGACGAAAGCCCTCTAGTTCACAGTGAGTTCTGCGTTCTTAAACTGTGATTAACTGTGGCCTGGTGTACTGTTGTAGATTTTCTGGTGTTAGTCATTTGTTGGTGCATTTAGTAACTGGCTTTCCGTTTTCATTTCCAGCTTTGTCCTGCCAAGAAGTTACTGAGGAAGAGGTCTTAGATGCGAGCTGCTTGCTGGATGTCTTAAGAATGTATAGGTGGCAGATCTCTTCCTTTGAAGAACAGGTGAGCACAGCATGCAACAGGTGTAGCTCAGAGAAGCCTTTTCCCTAGAGGCTTAGGGAGCAACCTTGCAGTTGCCTAGTGTGAGTGTATGTTTATAGTGCAGGTGACAGAACCCAGGGTCTTGAACACGCCAGGCAAGTGTTCTACTATTGAGTTCCATCCCCAGTGTTTCTGTGACATTTTAGACAATCTCAGTGTTTTGGGACCAAAGCATCAACTTCCTCCCTGCTCTTGTGATCAGAGCAGACACACAGCCCTTTCCACCCAGTGGAGAAAGGTTAGCGGCATGGAGCATAAACAGTTGCCAAAGAGGGAAAATATTTCAGTTCTCCAGTGACCTTGCTCTACAGTGGCTAGATAGGGAGGCCTGGGTCCTTTAAAAAGTGGCAAGTGGTGTCATCTTAGTGTTCCAGAGATTTAAGTGAGATCCTTTTTTGGCCAAAGCTCTCATTTTTAAGAAAGTCAGACTTCAGAGATGAGCTTAAAGTGGCCCCAAGCCTTGAGCAGGGGTCATATGCAACCCCAAGACTTCATTCCAGCCACTCCTACCTCCCTGGTCCACACCTGCAGCTTCGCTGTCTGCTTGGGATCTGGCTGCCCTCCTCCGCCCCAGACCACCATCGCCAATGGCAAGCCTGAGCCAGAGGCCCCCGGGGCAGCTGCAGGAGGGAGAAACCACTCTGTTGCTCACTGCAGCGGGGGGCCTTTTCTGTTTTGTGCAGGCCGCTTCTGCCCCTCTGGTGCAAACACAGACCTGAGAAAGGGGACATGGCCTTCTAGACCTCCCCAGACTGTGGGGCTGGAGCAAGAGGCATTCTAAAAACATGAAAAGGGAACAAGGGGCCTTTCTAGCTCCCCTTCGTTTAAGATGACCTCTAGTTCCTCGTTCCTGTCTGATCTGAAGCCACGAACATGTTGGTGATGTCTCTGCTTTCTACATATATTTAGTTATATATGGACACAATATCTTTATTTTGTTTATTTATTTTTATATTATGCTGAGGCTCGAACCCAGTGCCTCATGTGTGCGAGGCAAGCACTCTGCCACTGAGCCACAACCCAGCCCATGTCTATGATTTTTTAAGATGCATATCTTTTAATCCAATTGTATGTTGAAATGTTTTTCCATTTAGAACGCTGGAAAGCGTGTGTGTGGTGCTGGGTACATAAGTATTCTACCACTGAGCTGAACTCCAGCCCTTTTAAATGTGTCTCAACTGAGAGTATGGATTTGAGGTTCAGTCCCTGATGACATCAGATAACTTTTGTTATCAAAGACCCACGTAAGGGCTAGGGTTGTGGCTCAGTAGTAGAGCGCTTGCCTAGCACGCATGAGGCACTGGGTTTGATCCCCAGCACCATATAAAAAACTAAATAAACAAAATAAAGGTATTGTGTCCATGTACAACTAAAAATATTACAAAAGACAACAAAATAAAACAAGACCCACTTAAATTATACCTGATTTCCTGGAAGTGTTCTCAGCATGCTCAGCCCAGAGCAGTCCCTGGCTGGGTAGTGCTTTAGTGTGCAGGGAAGCCGGTGATCGTGTCTTTCTGTTGGTCTCTTGCTCTTTGAAGGGATCCAGAGCATCTGGCACGGGACCTTTTCCATCTGCAACACAGAGGATCTAGTTAGTCAGTAGTTTACTCTTGCTGACCATCAACACATTTTCTGTCTATAGCTCCAGAAATCCTTCTTTGTGTAAACTGATTTGATCTGTACAACAACCCTGTAAGCAGTTACTATTATTATCCCAAATTTATAGATGGGGTCACTGAGGCTTGGAGAAGGGAAATGATTTATCCAAAGTCACAAAGCTGCTTGGTGGCACAGTCCCATTGGAGCTTACCTGGCACTACAGCATACACTCTCAAGCTCCACCCTCTTCTGCAAAACTGTTCATTTCTGGGAGGCTCTGCAGCTCTGTGACTGACAGGACAGATTGTGGTCTGACTCTGCCCTGCCTCAGGAGTGCTCCAGGGCTGGGGCAGAGTCCTGACTGTCAGGGCCCATCCAGTCTCCTGGGAAGAGCTGAGTCCCTCCCGGCTCCCAGCTCATCACTCCCTGTTCCAGGGCTGACTCTGTGCTTGTGCTCTTGGTAACTGGCCAGGCTGCCCCTGGATTATGAATCTGCCTCTGGATTATGAGTCCCTGGGTGGCAAGACCCTTGCCTTGTTTATTCTTGACTCTTTTCCCAACAAGTATCTGTTGAGTGCCTGCCTTGGGCAGGGCCTGTTGAGGGCAGGAGGTGGTACAGCAGACCACTTGGCAGATCCCCTGCTCCCATGAACTTGAATTCTTGTGGTGGAAGGAGGGGGATGCAGGCAGTAGACAGGTGATTTCAAGATGTGCAAACAAGAAAATAAATAGGATGACATAATAAGTCCGTGGTGGGGCACAGGGGAGCCTGCTGTAGGCAGGGAGGGCCCATCTGGAGAGGTGAGGCTCTAGTGAGACCTGAAGCATGAAGAGGGGTGAGGCCGTGCAGAATGTTCTAGCAGAGCAGCAAGCCAGGATGGAAACCTAAAGATGGCTGTAAGCCACAGAGTTTGGAAGACAGCAGGGAGGCTGGGGTGGCTGGCTGGGGCTGGGGCAGTGGGAGGGACGGCAGAGGTTGTCAGGAAGCAGCTGGTGCAGGGAGGCTGTGGCCAGGGCCTAGCTTTTACTGTGTATGCTGGAGGGGGCCATAGAAGGCTTTGAACAGCGCCTGGTTTGATCTGACTTGTACTTGAAAAGGAAGAACTAAGGGGGCCAGAGTGAGAGGGAGAGGAAGGCGGGAGGCTGTGGCTACTCCACCTAAGGTGGCTTATTGGCGGTGGGGGGACAGGCAGCTTTGTATATTGGCCGGGGAGGTCCCCCTGTGGGGAGCCATTTCAGGGAGGCCTGAGGGATGGAAAGGGCAGCTTGGGTACGGGTGGGCACGGCTTGAGATGGGAATAAACTTGTTTTGCTCAAGGGCCATGAAAGAGGCCAGGGGCTGGAGCACGTCGGTGAGGTAGAGTGTTCTAGAATGAGTCAGGGTCAGGGCCCCTCATGGAGGGCTTTGCAGGAGATCAGAGGCTTTTCCCTGGCAGTGAGAGCCGCCGGGAGACTGGAAGCAGAAGAGGAAAACCATTGGCCTTTTAAAAGATGGCTCCGATCAGTGCTCAGCCTTGGGGCTCAGGTCAACAGAGTGCCTGTTCTCATTCTGCGGACCACGTGGAGTGGGGTGAAGAGTGGGAGTCAAGAGCCCCAGGAGGATCAGCACCCTGAGAGCCTGGGGAGGACAGCAGGAGAGATGGGAGTCAGGGCTTGGGCTTTTGGGGAGAGGATCATTTGAATTGATCCTTAAAGGGGAGCCTCTTGCCACGTGACCCAGAAGCTCCACTTTGGGGTACATACCAAAAAGTCGCAAACAGACTCAGACAGAGTTTGCACACCCCTGCATGTGCTGCACAGAGCAGGGTTGTTCTCAGAAGCCCATAGGTGGAAGCAACCGTGTGTCCATCAGTAGAGGAACCGATGAACAAAAGTTGTCTGTGGGTGCCAGGAATTGAACCCAGGGCCACTATACCACTAGCCACATCCCAGCCCTTTATATATGTATATTTTTTTAAGTTTCTTTTTTTTCTCTCTCTTCTCCCCTCTCCCCCAACAAGTTTTTTTTTTAAACTTTTTTTTTAGTTGGTGACAGACCTTTATTTTATTCATTTATTTATATGTGGTACTACTGAGAATTGAACCCAGTGCTTTATATATGCAAGGCAAGTGCTCTACCACTGAGCCACATCCCAGCCCTTTGTGTTTTTAATTTTGAAACAGGGTCTAGCCAAGTAGCTCAGGGCCTCATAAGTTGCTGAGGCTGCCTTCAAATTTATGATGCTCTGGCCTCAGCCTCCTGAGTTGCTGGGATTATTGGCATGCGCCACTGTTCCCGGCTGGATGAACAAAAGTTTTATACAATAAAATATTATTCAGCCTTTAAAAAGGAGGAGGGCTGGGTTTGTAGCTCCGTGGAAGAGCACTTGCCTTGCACATGGGAGGCACTGGGTTCCATCCTCAGCACCATATAAGAATAAATAAATTAAATAAAGGCATGTGTCCATCTACAACTAAAAAAAAAAAAACTTTAAAAAGAAGAAAATTCTGACACATGCTTCAGTTAGATGAACCTTGAAGACATTGCGCCCCGTGAACTAAGCCAGTCACAAAAGGACTAATAGTGTATAATTCCACTTCTGTAAAGTCCCTAGAATTGCCAGAGTCCTAGAGACAGGACATGGAATGGGGCCAGGGCCCAGGGAGGGCAAATGGGAGTGAATGTTTAATGGGTAGAGAGTTTGAGTTTGGGAAGATGGAAAAGTCCTAGGGTTGGACGGTGGGGATGGGGACAGACACTGAGTGTATTTAATTCCACTGAACTGTACCTTTAGAAGTGGCTAACGTGGTACCCAGGCATGGTGGCACATACTTGTGGTCCCAGCAGCTCAGAAATGGCTAGTGTGGCAAATTTTATGTGTATTTTACTGTAATCTAAAAAGAAAAAGCACTCCTTGGGAGTCCAGTGGAGTGAAGGTCAAGGCCGTGTCAGTTCAGCTGACACTGGCTGCTGGTAGGAGGGCAGCCGCCCCTCTCTGTCTTCTTAATCCTCCTGGACCTCTGAGTTGAGAGTCCCTACCTGTGGAGTCATCTACCATGTGACAGTTTTCCTTAAGGAGCAGGGCCCTGAGAAAGTGGAGAGCCAATTCTGCCCTCTCTAACTACGGGGGTCCGCCTGGTGGCCACAGAGGAGGTGGTGCTGGTCTCTCAGTGACTTCATGGGGCCTCTCTGAAGAATGCTTTGCCCTCTGACAGGATGCTCACGAATTATTCCATGTCATTACCTCATCACTGGAAGACGAGCGGGACCGCCAGCCAAGGGTCACGCATCTGTTTGATGTGCATTCTCTGGAGGTAACCGTTAATATTTTCCTCATGCTTAATGCTGTTTGGACATATTTAGTCTTTGTAGAAAACACAAGTATAATCTTTGTACAACCTTAAGCACAAAAAAGTAGGATTTAGTAAGAATCATTAGTGGGGATGAGACTGGGGAGGGTCTTAAGGTACACTCTGCAGTCAGTTCCTTTAGCTAGAGAGGTCAGGCTTTTTAAATGATGCATTGCTGAGATTTGTGTTGTGGAGAAGAAAGTTAACTAGTAAAGGGGAAATGCCCCAGGGAGGGGAGGCGTTTTAATTGCCTTGGGTGGAGGAGCCTGCAGGAGCCAGCCAGAGACACTAGCGAGCATGCTTTGAGAACCAAGGGCTGTGTCGGAAGTTCGTTTTGAGTGATGCCATCAGCACAGAAACTTGTAAACTCTCGGGGTGGTGAGGGAAGGAAAAGGGGCTGCCGCAGGATTTTCAGTCTGTTTCTTTTTCCCTTACAGCAGCAGTCAGAAATAACTCCCAAACAGATCACCTGCCGCACAAGAGGTAGCTGTTTTCTATTGAATGTAACACATAGATGCATACTTTGTAGATATGACACTAATCTGCTTGTTTTAAAAAGTTGTTGTTTTTTAAATTTTTCTTGGTGACACCCAATCCAGCCTGGACTGTGGTCTAGTTACAAAGGAACCTGTATTTTGGGAACAGCTTTAAATGATTGTCTCAGTGTTCCTTGCACCCCAGGCCTGCTCAGGTTCCTCCAGAAGGACTTTGCTCTTCCCACAAGGGCTTTCTTTTTGCTTCTGGAATTTCAGATCGTGGGTAATTCCATTTTAACGCATTTTGTCCTCAGGATTTCCACCTTGGCCCACTTTTACTGCAAATGATCACAGTTCTCCTTTGAAGGGGAATCCTTGTTAACTCTTAAGGCTTGAACTTAAAAAATAAAATTGACACATAATTTCCTTTGTGCCTTAGTTGTAATAGAAACAAAATACCTCTTTTAAATGCATTTTGTATTCTAGGCGTTGCAATTTGTCTTCTAAGCTTCCCAACAACTCTATAAAGTTGATTCTGGGGACAGTGGATTAATAATCATCCCTGTTTCCAGCGGATGAGACTTTCAGAAATGAAAGAACTTCCCAGGTCATGAGCAGAGCCAGCAAGGAGGCCGGGCTGCCTGACCCCGAGCCCGTGCTCCTCTCTAGGGTGTGGTAATCCAACCTCCATCCCAGCCAAAGCAGATCCCAGTTCTTCAGAACTTGCTTATTCTGATCATTTCAGAAGCTTAGCTCCCTGTATGGAATGCTTACTAGTGGAACCTTTCATTGAAATCCCTAGCATTTTAAGCTTGTATTTGTAAGAAGATGTTATTAAATGCAGATTCTTTTTTCAAATGTGGCTGTACCCATGATATAGAGACCCATGTGAAGAACTATGGAAATCTGTGGAGAAGGAATGCGTGTGTGTTTGCTGGAAGTCAATGAGGAAAACTCTTTGAATGAACTTTTTATTTTACCTAAAGAGTGTCTCCTGTAAAAAGGAGGGTATGTTTTGAGATTGGTGCCAAAGGGCTAAAAGTGGCATATCAAAACGTATTTTGTGTCCCAGGGTCTCCTCACCCCACGTCCAGTCACTGGAAGGCGCAGCACCCTTTTCATGGGAGACTCACGAGCAACATGGTCTGCAAACACTGTGAACACCAGGTAAGTGCAGCACCAGCGCTTGCTGTTCCTGCGAGCTTTTCTTCCAAGTCAGGGTTCTTGGAAGGATTTAGAGAGTGTGGGCTAACCTCAGTGAATGGTGCTGGCGTGCCCAGGCTCTGCACACCTGGAGAGCTGCCTGCCCGCTTTGGTCAGCACCAACATGTCACCTGTTCTCACTTGGCATCTTCTGCACCAGAAGCAGCAGATCTATTGTGAATCAGCAGAATTTTGAGTCCTGAGGTTGAGTTTATGCTAAAGTGGACGCGTAGATTCTAGGACTGGAGGGTCTGGCTTTGTTTGCATTTGATATGTTAAGGTGAATTGTTTTAGAAAGTTTCATCTTTTTCGCAAATATTTTAGAGTTATACATGGACACAATATCCTTATTTTGCTTATTATTTTTATGTGGTGCTGAGGATTAAACCCAGTGCCTCACATATGCGAGGCAAGCACTCTGCCACTGAGCCACAACCCCAACCCAAAGTAATTTTTTAAAAATAGTTTTTAGTTGTAGATGGACACAGTATCTGTATTCTATTTATTTATTTTTATGTGGGGCTAAGGATTAAACCTAGTGTCTCATGCATGCAAGGCAGGCACTCTACCACTGAGCTACAGCCCCAGCCCCAAAGTAATTTTTATTATGGAAAATTTTCAACATAATAAAAATATTTTGCAACTGTCACTTCTACCATCTCCCCTCTCCTCAAAATAAACCTCATGCCCATTATCAGTGTCTCCCCATCCTCTCCATCTCCCCACCTCTGGCAACCACTGATTGACCTTCCATCTCAGTGGATCTGCCTGTTCAGGACATTTCAGATGCATGGAGCCATACCACATGTGGCCTTTCATGTCTGGCTTCTTTCATTAGCATAATATTTTCAAGATTCTTCCACATTGTAGCGTGTACGACTGCATTTCTGTTTATTGCCAAATAATATTGCATTGCAGATAAACCACATTTTGTTTATTAAATCCATCAATTGATGGGCATTTGGATTGTTTTAATTTTGGAAAGTATTGTTTACACGTTGTTGTTTATTTAATTGGTTCCTTTTAGTTATACATGACAGCAGAATCCATTTTGAAAAAAATCATACAAGCATGGGATATATCTTATTCTAGTTAGAGTCCCATTCTGTGGATGTTCATGGTGGGTATACAAGCATTTTGTGTACAAACTTTTATGTAGAAATATGTTTTCATTTTAGTTGGGTGTATATATACACTTAGGAGTGGAATTGCTGCCTGATGTGGTAATTCCATTTTAACCTTTTGAGAAACTGCTGGTCTTTTCTAAGGTGGCTGCACCACTGACTCTCCCCCAGCCGCATCCTGAGGGCTCCCGTTCTTCACAGCTCACCGCCCCTGCGCAGGCTGACTTTTGATTGCAGCCGTCCTTATAGCTGTGGAGTAGTGTCTCTCTATAGGTGTTTTCCCTGCTTTACTGAGGCATAACTGATGAAATCGTGTCTATTTAAGGTGTATAAAGCAATGGCTTGATAATCGTGTGCCCTATGAGATGGTCACCACAGTCACACTGTTCAACACATGCATCTCCTGGTGTGGTCACCTTTTCGTGTATGTGCAGTAAAGGCACTTGAATTCCTATCTCAGAAAACAGGACACAGTACAATACGAGCTGTAGTCACCGTGCTGTGTGCAGGACCCGGACCGTGAGCCTCGTAGCTGGAGGTTTGTGGCAGTGTCCCCGGCACTCCTGCCTTAGCAGTCACCATTCTACTCTCTGCTTCTGTAAATTCGACTTTGGAGTCTAGATTCACACTGTAGCGTGGTCATGTGGTATTTGTCTTTTTGTGTCTGGATTATGTCAGTCAGCATGTAATGTCCCCTGGGTGCACCTGCGGTATCACAAAATGGCAGGGTTTCCTTCTTTTTATAGTCAGTACTGTTCTGCTGTACGTATTTGTACATTTTCTTTTTCCACCCATCTACTGATAGACACCTAGATAGTTTTGGAATCTTGGCCGTCCGGACTAATGCTGAGGGGTGATTCTGTCTCCTCCGGGTATCTGCCCAGAAGAGGAATTCCTGGGGCACATGGTAATTCTATTTTCAACTTTTTGAGGGGTCTCCACGGTTTTCCCTGAAGGCTGCGTCAGTTTGCATTCCCACAACAGCGTAAGGAGTTCCCCATCCTCCACACCTTGCCAGCACTTGGTGTCTCTTGTCTTTTTAATGACAACCTTCCAAATAGGTGTGAGGTGATGTGGCGTTGGGGTCTAGATTTGCGTTTCCCTGACGAGTAGTGATTTTCGAGCACTCAGGGCCCTGTTGGCCATATCTCTGTCACCTTTGGAGAAATGTTTACAGGTCCTTTGCCCAATTTTTAATGATGTTACTTGTTTGTTTTGGGGGGAGTTTTCTTTTTTTATTGTTGACTTGTATGAGTTCCTTATTCATTTTAGATATTAATCCCTTTTCAGATTCATCGCTTGCAAATATTTCCAGCCATTCTGCATGTTACCTTTTTGTTTTATTGTTTATTTCCTTTGCTGTCTTGTTTTGATTGAAGTTACCTTGAGGACTGAGGTGTTGAAAAAAAAATAAGGCTGATATACCACAGATCCTTGACATGCCTTATTTTATAAGTCACCCACTCTTCCCTCCTATTTTTTTCTTTGCATTTTATTTTTATGTTAAAGCTATTGTAAAGTGGAATTAAACTTTTCTGATTTCCCAGCCAAGTGAGATGGCACACACCTGTAATCTCAGCTACTCAGGAGGCTGAGGTAGGAGGATTGCAAGTTCAAAGCCAGCCTGGGCAACTTAGTGAGACCCTATCTCAAAATAAAATAAAAAGGGTAGGGGATACAGCTCAGTGGTAGAGTGCTTGCCTAGCACATGTGGGGCTCTGGGTTCGTTCCTCAGTACCAAACCCAAAAATTATTTCCTGGTTGTTTGCCAGTAGTAGTTTATAAAAACACAGTTGTTTATGAACCTTGTATCTTGAGAAAGCTTCATGTGTCAGTTGTGGAAGTTTTGTTGTAGATCATATGTTTATAATCATGTCTGTGGACGTGAACACTGTTAGTTCTTCCTGTCCAATCTTCACGCTGTTTACCTATTTATTTTCTCTGCCTTCTGTTCTGGCAAGGACCTCTGTATAGAGTTACTCAAGAGTGGCCATTGCAGACATCCTTGTTTTGTTTCAAATCTTAAGAACCAAGTCTTTGATGTTTTATAACTAAGATTGGTATTAGCTTTATTGTACTGAGAAAGTTTCCTGCTGTTCCTAGTTTGCTGTGAGTTTTTTTTTTTTTAATATTTTTTTAGCTGTAGATGGACACAGTATCTTTATTTTTATTTATTTTTATGTGGTGCTGAGGATCGAAGCCAGTGCCTCACACATGCGAGGCAAGTGCTCTGCCACTCAGCCACAGCCCAGCCCTGCTGCAAGTTTTTACAGGGAATAATGATTGAATTTTGTCATGCTTTTCCCATGTCTGTTGAGATGATCATATTTTATTCTTTTATCCCATTAATGTGTGAAAAGGCAGTTTTAAATTTTTCTAGCATTAAACCAGCCTTGAATTTTCTGGGAAAAACTCGTTTGATTATGATGTTCTGCTGGACATGATTTCTAATATTTTCTAAAGGCTATGTGGGTGTTTATGAGGAAGGTTAATGTTTCAATTTTCTTCTCTTGTAATGTCTTCATCAGACTTTGCTAGGATCATGCTGGCCTCATGAAATAAGAGGTGTTCCCTCTGTTCCTGAACAATTTTGTTTAACATTGGTATTATTTCTTCCTTAAATATTTGATAGAATTTTTGTTTCTTTCCTTAGTTCATGGTTCTGTTTACACTTTGCTATGAGATACAGGCACACATACTTTTTCCACATTTTAAAAAATATTTTTATTGTAGATGGTTACAGTATCTTTATTTATTTATTTTTATGTGGTGCTGGGGATTGAACCCAATGCCTCATATGTGCTAGGCAAGCTTTCTACCACTGAGCCACAGACCCAGCCCTTTTCCACATCTTTTATTGGTGCACAAGCATATATATTATGAGAAATTGACTCTTACTGTCTTAATAAAATGTCCTCTTCATCTCTGACTCATCTACTTCCATGAAATCAAGTCTGTTTGATTCATTTTCATCTTTCTAGTGTTTTTTTGGTATGTCCTTTTCTTTCTTCATATTTTCAACCTTTGTCTTTGTAGTTAAAGTATAGATTTTATAGATAGATATGATTAGGTCTTGCTCTTTTATTCAGCTTGAGAATCTGCCTTTTAATTGGAGTGTTTAGTCCATTTACATTTATTGTAAGTATTCATATGCTTAGATTCAGGTCTGCCACTTTACCATTTGTTTTGTAAATTGTCTTACATATTTCTATATGGCTTACACATTTCTTGTTCCTCTGTTTCTTCTTTCTGGCTTCTTTTGGGTTGATCAATACTTTTCGGAATTCTGTTATTGGCCTTTTGTGTGTATATGTGATTACTCATGTAATTTTACCCATATCATAGCCTATTTAGAGTCAATATCTACTCTTTTATGTAAAGTATTGGAATGTTTAAAAATATATAATTTTGCTGGGTGTGGTGGCACAAACCTGTAATCCCAGAGACTTGGAAGGCTGAGGCAGGAGGATGGCAGATTCGAGGCCAGTCTCAGCAACTGAGCAAGACCCTCAGAAACTTGGTGAGACCCTATTTCAAAATAAAAAATAAAAAGGGCCAGGGATGTGGGACTGGGGTTGTTGCTCAGTGGTAAAGTGCTTGCTTAGGACAGTTGAGAACCTGAGTTCCATCCTCAGCACCACATAAAAACAAACAACAACAACAAAAAGTGTGTATACATGTATGTATGTGTGTGTGTGTGTGAATATATATATACACACACGCACATCTGTGTATATATGTGTGTATGTATGAACATATACATATATGTATTCTTCAAAAGTCAGAGCTGATCAAAATATTTTTATAGACATGAAATATCAGTGTATCTGCCACAACTAGACCTATAAGAAATGTTAGTTTGGGATCATTTTAGGCTGAAGGGAAAAAAACATCAAATGGACTTAGATCTACAGGAAACAGAGCCAGGCGCAGTAGAGCATGCCTGTAATCCCAGTGCTCAGGAGGCTGAGACAGGAGGATCGAGAGTTCAAGGCCAGTCTCAGCAAAGTGAGGTACTGAGCAACTCAGTGAGATCCTGTCTCTAATTAAAATACAAACTAGGGCTGGGGATGTGGCTCAGTGGTCTAGTGCCCCTGCATTCAATCCTGGTACCCCCCCAAAAAAAGATCTGTAGGAAACATTGAAGAACATCAAAAACAGGGTGTGTGTGTGAGAACTTTTGCTATCCAGTCTTTTGTGCTGCTTTTATCATATCTACAGACATTATAAACTCCACAATATTGGGTTATAACATGCTTTAAATACTTAGATGTGTTTTTAACAAATTGAAGGGAAAATATTTCATATTTACCATTTTTGGTGTTCTTCATTGTTGCCTGTAGATCTAAAACCATTTGATGTTTTTTTCTTTTCAGCCTCAAAAAATCCCCTTCACAGTTTTTGTGGGTCTACTGGTGGCAGACTCATTGGTGTTTCATGTCTACGAAAGTATTATTGTTTCGCTCTTTTAGAATAATTTTGCTGTCTATAGAATTTGGAGTTGACCTTGTTGCTTTTATCTTGCTTTGGTGTACTTTAAATTTGTTATTTTAAAGACATTGTTTTCTTCTGGGCATTTTTTTCAAAAAGTGTGTCATTCATATTTTCTTCTGAATTTAAAATATCATTTTTCTAAAGCTTCTACTTACAAGGTTTTCTCTTTTGTTCATCCTGTGTGTAGATAGAGTTTTCTTAAGATTTATCCTGCTTGGGGTTTGCTGGGTTCCTACAATCTGTGTTTTTGTGTTCCACCAAAGTTTGGAGCTTGGCCGTTGTTTGCCCAGTCGTCTTGCCTGTTGTGGACTCGCCGGGCTGCTGATGTGGTTCCCCGGGTCACTGATGCCATGTTCATTTCTCATCGTCTCTTCCCTCTGTGTTCTACAAATTCAGTCATTTCTATTGACCCATCTTCAAGTTTGCTGACTCCTCCATCCTCGGTCTTTGCCTGTCCAGAACATTTTCCATTTTAGTTCTCTTTGGTTATGGAATTTCCTTCTTTTCAGTAGTCTCCATTTGTCCATGCACTGTAACTATGTTTCCCCTTTCTGTACTTGAGCATATTTACAACACACCTCTGAGGTCCTCGTGGGCTAATTTCAACATCTAGGTCACCTCCTTTTCACTTCACCATGGGTCACATTTTCCCTTCTTGGTATTGTGTATTCAGTCATTTTTATTGCATATTTTATATTGTAGTAGAGACTGGATTGTGTTGTTTCTCTGAAGGAAAATGGCTTTTGCCCTGGCACTCAGTTCATTTGACGGGGCTCAGATTCCAGACCCTTCCTCCTCTGCCTGAGGGCAGCAGAGTCTCTGCTCAGGTGTTTTAGCTTCCAGATGCTCCCTTTTGCCAGGCTCCCTGCAGTCGGCCCTGAGCTGGTGCCATCCAGGGTCAGCTCTGAGACTGGGCAGGATCTACCCACAGGTTTTGGAGCTCCTCCTCTCTTGGCTGCCCTCTTTCTGGGATTTGTCTGTGTCTTTTTACCAGCCCTGAACTTGGCCTTCTGACAACTCAGGCCTGTAAGATTGCTGCTTTTGGGCTGGGGATGTGGCTCAAGTGGTAGCGCGCTCGCCTGGTATGCGTGCGGCCCGGGTTCGATCCTCAGCACCACATACACACAGAGATGTTGTGTCTGCCGAAAATTAAACAATAAAAATAAATAAAAATTATTAAAAAAAAAAGATTGCTGCTTTTGCCACTCGGCGTTGTGCAGAGCAGGCAAAATAGGGCACACGGCGTGTCATTTCAGTTTCTGCCAGCTTCTGACAATCATTCAGATGGTTTTGTTTTACTGGGTCCATGTTTTATGGTTGTTGGCTGAAAAGGGATGCGTCTAGCCAAGCTCCCCCGCTGCTACCAAAAGCAGGGAGCTTATCCTGTTTTATCATCTGACTTTTTCAATTAATCATATAAACATCATTTCACATAATCACATGTTCTTCTACAAATTAAGAGCTGGCAGAAACTAAGTCCTTGTAGTATGTCTATGGTTATTTCCTTAGATAAGATCCCCATGTTGCTGGGTCAGGTATGTGATCTTAAAGTTTTTTCAGGCTATTCTTTAGTATTATTGTTGCTGTTGAATTTGTTTGTTTTGTTTCTGTGGTGCTGGGAGTGAACCCGGGCCTCAAGCGTGTATGCAGAATAAGTGCTCTGTGCTGAGCTACACCCCCCCACAGTGCTTAGGTTTATAAGGTTGTTGTTAATAGAATTTTCTTCTGAGCACATTATGTTTTCTTATGTTAAATGTGAGCATCTAAATTAAATTAAACCAGGAACAGCAATTCATGCCTGTAGTCCTAGCAACTGGGGAGGCTGAGGCAGGAGGATCCCAAGTTCAAGGCCAGCTTCAGCAACTTAAAGAGACGCAGTCTCAAAATAAAAACTGAAAAGGGCTTGGGTGAGGCTCAGTGGTCAAGTCCTCCCGTGTTCAATGCCCAGTACTGCTGAATGAATAAATATGTACTAAAGTGTCTCGCAGGCACATACATTCCATCTGTTGCATGGAATCTAAGGTGTTTTTTTTTTTTTTTTCCTGCAATATTTGTTTCAGAGTCCTGTTCGATTTGATACCTTTGATAGCCTTTCACTAAGTATTCCAGCTGCCACTTGGGTATGTACCTCTGGTTGATTTGGGGTATGTTTTGCAAATATTTCAATCTGAAAGATCTTCAAGGCACTTTATGTAGCTCAGATCCTGTGTGTTATTCAGACACGTGGTCAGTCACACAATTCTTAACTCCAGGGTGTGGACCAGGGCCTGATCATGGGGGAGAAAAACATGGAGGTTTTTTGTCTTGCTGCAGGAAATTTGGCTTTTTCATCAAACACCACACATGTGCACACACACACACACACACACACCCCTCAGATTTAAAGACACATAAAACATAGATTTAGACTTCCAAATCATGGAAGTCCGTAATTTTCCACGGCCTTTTATCCTTGTACTCTTAGATAGGTCAGTAGTCGCAGTGCCAGATCCTTTGAGCTCCACCTTTGTGCAGGAGACATCCAGTTGTGTCTGCGGGGCTCTGTTGCCTGGAATTTGCAAATAATTGGGCAGCTCTGAGCTCCACCCAGCCACCTGCGAGTTCAGTACGGCTCTTCTTTGAATTATTCTAATTTTCTTCTCATGCTGTAGGGTCATCCCCTGACCCTGGACCACTGCCTTCACCACTTCATCTCCTCGGAATCCGTGCGCGATGTTGTGTGTGACAACTGTACAAAGGTATGCCTTGAATCCCAGTGGCATCTCTCAGCTGGCGCGTGAGCTTCCGTAGTGCCCCTCACACCGCTGGCCTCAGCTCCTCTGACTGCCTGAGCCCAGAGGATGTGTGCAGCCCCTGCCATTTCCACCCGACCTGGTTTGGAAAGTGACTGCCCAAGGAGTTTGTTTCCCAGATGAGTTTCGTCTCATCCACAGCGTGTTTAAAGGAGAAGCATGCAGGTCAGGCTGGAGCTGGGAGACGCAGTTCTCTCCACTCCCCTTTCTCTCGTGCCCTACCTTTTCTCTGTGCTGTCCGTCTGAGTCCCCATGTGACTGCATTTCACCCTTTGAATGGAGAGGAATTGTGTGGACTGAATTTTTGAAGACAAGATAGATTTCATGCCAGAGTTTCAGTTTTGACTCCTCATTTTTCTCCTCCCTCCATGGCTACTGTTATTTAACATTCAAGAGGATCAGTGGGAACAGTTTGCAAATAACTGGGCAGCTGAGTTGATTTCAGCAGGTAGCAGTCCAGTGCCAGTCAGATGCACCAGCCCTGTCGCTGCCCTCCGGAGAAGTCCTGCTCAGGGTTTTCACAGAGAAATGTTGTTACTTCCATTTCAGATTGAGGCAAAAGGAACCTTGAATGGGGAAAAGGTGGAGCACCAGAGGACCACTTTTGTTAAACAGTTAAAACTAGGGAAGGTGAGCCCACCCCTCGTACCAGCTTGACTCTGCTTTGCAGGGATCCCTGTGTCCCACCCTGAAACGTACCGCCCTTTTCTCTCCCTCCACAGCTCCCGCAGTGTCTCTGCATCCACCTGCAGCGGCTGAGCTGGTCCAGTCACGGCACACCTCTGAAGCGGCACGAGCACGTGCAGTTTAATGAGTTCCTGATGATGGACATCTATAAGTACCGGCTCCTGGGCCACAGGCCCAGTCAGCACCACCCTAAACTTAAGGAGAGCCTGGGGCCTGCGCTGGAACTGCAGGACGGGCCAGCTGCCCCCAAACCAGGTGTGTGCCCGAAGCAGCCACCTTTCCTCAGCACAGAGCAGGGGTTTGGCAGCACCACATTCTGGCTTCCCCATAATCTGAGCACAAGGCTTATACAGTGTTACTCAGAATTCTTGGGAACAGCAGGTTCGGGGGTAGAAAAGAGGTTTTTGTTTGTTTCTGTGTGTGGTCCTGGTGCTGGATCCCACCCTGGACCTCACGCATTCTAAGCAGGTGTGGTACCCGTGAGCTACACCCCAGCCAAGATTTCTTAAAGAGGTTAAAATTGAACAGTAATGAGGGCTGGGGATGTAGTTCAGTAGCAGGACGCTTGCCTGGCATGCGTAAGGCCTGGGGTTCAATCTCCAGAATCCACCACCCACCCACACACACAAAATTACACAGTAATGAGAAAAAGTTCTTAAAATTCCATTATAGATGAAAAAGTACAGAAGGAAAGCTCAAGATTGCAGACTTGCTTTTTCATCTTTGGACTAAACAGTAATTGGCTCCGACCATTCCAGTGAATTTGCATTTCTTTCTCCCGCCCCTAAAACAAGTCATCCCATTTACACAAGGGGGGGTGGTAAACATCCTGGCTGAACATCACGGGAAATCTTATTTGGGTTCACAGTTCTTTTTCCTGGATTGTTGATCTCATTCTGTTACTGTCCTCATCTGAAGTTAATTGTTGAATGGGTCCCCATTAGGCAAGGTCACCCATGAGAAACTGGAGGCTCCCTGTGGTTCACAGTTGGTCCCAGGGCACCCAGCAACTGGCAATCTGGCCTGCAGTATGGGTCCGGGTGGTGTTTGAAGGTGTCTTGTGCAGCCCATTGGGTTCTTTGGAGTTGTAGGTGGGGAAGACCCACCAACTTGTAGGCTCCACGACTGAACCCACCCCCTGCACGCTGCCCCCAGGTGATTGGGACTGTCCTCCTGGACTCCCACACTGTGTGGACTGAGGTCCCTCCCTCCTTTGGTTCTTTTTTCACAACCACAATTGCACGGCCTGGCAAGACCTCATCCGAGGAGACTGTTCCTGGTTCTCCCTCACCAGGCCCTGGATTCACATCAGGAACCCTGAGGCAGGGAAGCCAGTCCCTGGCCCTCGTTTGGCACCACAGCTATCTTGCCCCAGCCTGCACCTGCCCTGACTGAGGGGCAGCCTGCTGGTGCCCAGAGCACACAGCCCTGTTCTAGATGCCAGCGTGAACTACGTGGTGCATGAGAGCCACTAGACATGATGCTTGAGCCGAAAAGAGATGGAAATGTCCCCCTAGTGATGCTACCCACGACTCATAAGTGTTAATGTTGCCACACGTTGGTGTTCCTTAGAAGCAGACAGGGTTTTTTAAAAAGACGATGTTTACTTCAGTGGTTCTCAGCGTGAAGCGATGGAAGACTTTGGGCAATGTCTAGTGACATTTTTGGCTGTCACAAAACACCCTGTAACACAGCACATCCCCCACAACGAAGAGTTGCCCAGCCCAGAGTGTCTGTCAGTAGTGCCAAGTCTAGAAGCCTTGATCAAGTCAAAAGCCAATAAATTAACCCCTGCTTGTCAGGCGCGGGGCCACCTGTCTGCAATTCCAGCCACTCAGGAGCCTGAGGCAGGAGGATCACAAGTTCAAGGCCAGCCTCTGCAACTCATCAAGGCCCTAGCAACTTGTGAAACCCAGTCTCTAAGTGAAAAAGGGCTGGGGATGTGGCTCAGCACCTCTGGGTTCAGTCCCTGGTACCAAGTAAATAAGTTCTGCTTTACTTTGGTACCTGTTGTTTGCAAAGGGGAATGGGAGTCTAAATGATCCACACAGTTATCAAGGCCAGCACTCGATCTGGGGCTTGATACGCTTTTCCTACTTGGATTTAAAATAGGGACTGAAGGGTAGGGAATTTTATGAATTACTTTAGTACAAAAGGGACTATTGCTTTTCTTTGTGGCATTATAGGGAGCTCATTTCCAAGGCAGTCAAAACCACATTTGTTTGCTGAGAGCCACTGCTGTGTTCACTGATTCAGGCCTTCTTCTCTTGCAGTTCTGAATCAGCCAGGGGCCCCCAAAACACAGATTTTTATGAATGGCGCCTGTTCCCCGTCTTTGTTGCCAACCCTGCCACCCCCATTGCCCTTTCCTCTCCCAGTTGTTCCTGACTACAGGTGAGCTGCTCTTCAGAAACACGTTCTTTATTCATCATGAGCCGTTGTCTCACTTTCTGACGCTAACTTTTCACCGACATGAATTAATGACAATTTAGAGATTAATTTTTTTAAATTTTAAGGTGGAATTTTACTTTATTACACATTCCTATTTAGGAATTATAAAAGTACATAGAAGCCGGGCTTGGTGGTGCACACCTGTAATCCCAGTGGCTGGGGAGGCTGAGGCAGGAGGATCAAGAGTTCAAAGCCAGCCTCAGCAAAAGTGAGGTGCTAAGCAACTCAGTGAGACTCTGTCTCTAACTAAATACAAAATAGGGCTGGGGATGTGGCTCAGTGGCCAAGTGCCCCTGAGTTCAATCCTTGGTACCCCCCCCCAAAAAAAAGTACATAGAATGTATACGTATGTGTGTATATGTATGTATATAAAGAAGAAAATTTTAAATTTCTTGGATTGCTTAGATAACCCATTACATCTGTAGAGTCCAACACTGTAGGAGCTGTGTGTAGGCGGGGGCAGGGACCTGTAATCCAGCTGCTGGAGACGCTGAAGTGTATGTTCCAGGCCAGCCTCGTCAACACAGAGAGGCCCCTTTCAAAACACGAAACAAAAGTGCTGTGTGTCTGTGTGTATACACCTGTGCACACTCAGGGTTCTCCCCGCCACCCTCAGTGTGGACATCCTGCCTCACCAGTAAATGGGGTCTGTATTTCCATGGCTTTGTGGTGTGGTGTCATGTGAGTGCACCGCTGTGCTGACCCCCTGTGTTTAACACCTGGGGTTCTTGTTGTCCTTCTGCCTGTGTGAGACTCCTAACTGTGAACCCGGCGTTTCTCCCCCACATTCAGCTCCTCCACGTACCTCTTCCGGCTGATGGCAGTGGTCGTCCACCATGGAGACATGCACTCTGGACACTTTGTCACTTACCGACGGTCCCCACCTTCGGCCAAGAACCCTCTGTCAACCAGTAACCAGTGGCTGTGGATCTCCGACGACACTGTCCGCAAGGCCAGCCTGCAGGAGGTGCTGTCCTCCAGCGCGTACCTGCTGTTCTACGAGCGGGTCCTCTCCAGGGTGCAGCACCAGGGCCAGGAGTACAAGTCTGAAGAGTGACTGCCCTGGTCCAAGCTGATGGCCTCGTTCGAGCCATCCAGGATAGAAGCCAGCTGTGCTGTGTGTGTCGCGCAAGCAGCTTGCGGCGTGTTCCGAAAGAGGGCTCCGTGGAGGAGCCCCCCACCCCCGGCCCTGCTAGCAGCTCTGGAAGGGCCGGCGAGCCGGAGAGCGTCCCTGTGTCTAGAGTGTCTTTTTACTCATCTGATTCAAGTAATTAAAAGCTACCAGATTCCAGAAACCACCTTTTCTATATTGTAACATGTTAGATATTCTCAGAGGGCAGTCACCTTTGCCTAATCCTCTGACATTTCCACATAGATTTTTTATTTTTAATAAGCAGGCCCCTAAAAATTGTTGACATAATTAGTGAAATTATTAAAGGCAACAATTTAGAAGAAAAAGTGCCTTTCACTTTCGATTGCTTTTGTAGCCCAACCATTCTGAGAAAGAGACATGATCTAAGAGTCCTAGAAACAGTTTTTGAAAGCCCTGTTCCTTCGGTCACTCAGAGGATATCAAAGAGCAGTTACAAGATGCCTGAAGAGCTCCTCTCCCTCTTTGTACGCCTTTTTCTAACCTTTTGATTCTTTCTATGTCTTAAAGACACATCTGCCAAGTCTCCCCGCCCCGGGCGCTCTGTCACGACTTTGTCAGTCAATGTAAGTGAAACGCTTGTTGCTTTTCTCTTTTGTGTACTACACCAAGAGATGTGATCCTAGTACATTATGAAAACCGTGTGGCCAGCCAGACCGGACAGCGTCTCTGTATCTGGGCAACCCGTGTCTTCTGCCATGTAGAAAACCCATTGCACGAGGACAGTTACTTCTGTGTTATTTATTGCCTGTGCAGGAGCTCTGAAGGCCTACAGGCAGGGTCTTGGGGCTGTGTGAGCTCATCCCTGCCTCAGCTGGAGAGCTGGATTAGGATGCGCTCTGTATATGGGCTGCAGTCTTGCTGGACCTGTTTCCTCATTTGTAAAGTGAAGGGTTAGATTAGATGACCGAAAAGTTCAATCCTGCCACACGCAGTGGCACATGCCTAACATCCCAGCAGCTCGGGAGGCTGAGACAGGATGATCGAGAGTTCAAAGCCAGCCTCAGCAAAAGTGAGGCGCTAAGCAACTCAGTGAGACCCTGTCTCTAAATAATATGCAAAATAGGGCTGGGGATGTGGCTCAGTGGTCTAGTGCCCCTGGGTTCAATGCCTGGTACCAACACCCCCCGCCCCCAAAACTCCAGTCCTTCCCACAGAAGGAAGAAAGCAGTTTGATTTCTGAAACACAAATACAGCCAACATTAGGCATCATCATTGTTTTTGCCCACATTCTAAATTTATTCATTCCCAGTAGCCTAATACAAAAAGAGTATATTGAGCATTTTCTTCCCTTTTCAGATAAGTCTCATGAATGCAACCCAGGGCTGAAGGAATTTTGATGACACAATAGTACCGAGTTTAAGCTAGGTTTGTGATTTTTAAAAAAAGATACCAAATTCAAGCTGACTCTTCAGAGAAAACATTTGGAATCAGACCAATACAAAAGATCACCAGAAGTCAGGCCAAGAACTGTGCTCCTGCTGGGCATGCCCCTGGACTCCAGAGGCTCAGGCAGGAGGATGGTGAGTTCAAAGCCAGCCTCAGCCACGGCAAGGTGCTGAGCAACTCAGCAAGACCCTGTCTCTAAATAAAATACAAAATAGGGCTGGGGATGGGGCTCAGTGGTACCAAAAAAATAAATAAAAGAACTGTGCTCCCTCCACCTGGGGTGAGCTTCCAGATGTGCGTTGGCATTAGTTGACAGTGCAAGAAGCCCAGGTGGTCACCATTCAGCTGGGCCAGTGTGCATCCTAAGGACTTGGGGACTCTCCCTGCCAATAGAATATACTGTGAAGGTTCTCGGAGCCACCAATGTCAGTGTGAAAGCAGGAGCTTGAACCACCTGGTCCGTGCACTGCAGACCTCAGTGTTGATGTGGAACTGAATGCACCTGTTTATCTAAATCCAGTGACATAAACACCAGGTCGTGTGACCGTGAGCTGCACTGCACAGTTGTAGCTCTGAGTAACTGCTGTTCTGCAACCCCGGGAAACTGGCATCAGAGAGATGCATGCGACAATGGGCCTCCAGACAGCGGGCTGGGAGGAGCTCCTTGGCCAGAGGCTGGGGTGTGAGTGAAGGCTGTAAATGTGAATGACAACCTGTCTGAACGCTAACTTCCTCATTTTGTAAATTATTAGGCATTAAGTAGCGGCAGAATCATCTGATTTCTTGTTTTAAGTTATTTACAAAGTCAGTAGCTTCTTTTTGGAAAAGCCTAAGTTAAACTAGTAGTCTAGGCTATAATAACTGATTTATGTATTTGCTAAAGGTACTTTTGTATCTGCTATGTATTATAGCAATAAAAGAATCATTTTGTTAGGAAAAAAATCAACTAGTATTCTTTTATAATTCACTATGCTTTCCTTAACCTGCTCCTGTGTTCTCTATTGGTAAAGAAACACCAGCTCCCTCTCAGACAAAAAAAAAAAAAAAAACACAAAAAGAAACATGTTAAAAACGTTTTTATTTCTTAGGCAAAATTTTACGAAATGTCAGGTTGACCCGTGGAGCCAGAACCTTCTTGCGCACGGGAAGACTGTGATACCAGTGGGCGTTGGTCGGGGGGTTCATCATTAGTAAGCTTCCGTGGGCCAGCTGCAGCCGGACCACCTCTAGCTTCTGGCGGGGGTTCTTCCCTCGCGAGTCCTTGTGCCGGAAGCAGAAGTCCCTGCAGGCACCAAAGGAGACAGAGGCGATGGGGCTCCTGGGCGCCAGTTCTCTCTCATCATCTCGATGCTCCCCAATGTGGTCACAGCCATCTTTGTACCTGCAATGAGAAAACAGGCACCGCTCAGAATGACCTTCTGGAGGCTGTCCCTGCAGGGCCTGAGCGCCTCCCTGGCTCTGCAGGTGAGGCCGGCCTGGGGCATATGCATGGGTAACCTCTCCTAAAGCAGGCCGACAGCACATCTCATCAGCCCCTGGCTTATGCATGGAAACCTTCCTGTCACGTAAAAGGATTTCCTCCCTCCATACAGAATAAACTCCTGTTCCTGGCACATTCTGGCCCCTGGCCACTCGAGAGCACCCCGCATCCCTTCCTCCCTTACTCATTGCTTTCTGGCCACACCAGAAGTATTCCTGCTCCACAGGTGCTCTGGGCTTCTCTGGGTGCCTGGCCTGAGGTCTCCAGTTAGTTACCAGCTCAGGTGTCTCCAGGAGCCCTTCTTTAACCATCTCATCTAAAGTGGGTCCTTCTCCTCTGCCCAGGGTTCTCAGCCAGGGTGATGTTGCCCCAGGAGATGCTGGGCAATGTCTGGACACATTTCTGGCTGCTCTGATGGCATAAGGTGCTACTGGCATCCCCTGATGGGCCAGGGACGCTCTCAGTCCTACAATGCACAGATCAGCCCTGGGCAACAAATTACCCAGCCTATGATGTTCACAGTCCTGCTGCTGCTCAGAAACCCTGAGCCCCAACCTTTCCTCAGCTACTCATTCAAATCAGCCTGCTTGACTGTCCCCACCACACTCCCCAGGGTCTCAAATGACCCTGCCCAGCTGTCTGTCCAGGAGTTAATCACCCTTCCCTCCTGCTGCTGCCTGAACTCCCTGAAGGACGACTGGGCTTGCGTTCTCCCACCATGATGTCCCTTGTGTGCTACTGGATGGTTTGCTGTGCAGGACCAAATATGGGGGAGCCCTGAACACTTCCTTTTGGAGGAGACAGAAAGCTATAAAACTTACTCCACCAGACAAGGGAGGCGTCACCTGTTGACGAGCACGAAGTTGAAGGTATGTCCTGTCAAGCCAGAGACACGATCCCGGATGCACTCTAGAACTGGGATCCAGGGCTTTGGAGACAGCGTAAGGCCTGAAAACGTGTAGGTCAGTCCAGCGTCACCATATGTGGCTTGCTTCCTTGGCACACTGTGCCACTTCCCAAATACCTGGACCCTGGCCAGTGCACCTGTGCAGAAAAAAACAGCAGTGCCAGCCCTCGGACCCAGAGAGGCAGGTGACACACCTGCTGAGTACTCGGGAGAGCAAGGGAAGGAAAACAGGAATAGCATGTCCCTCTGTCCTCCAGTGTCACGAAATGCCCTGTCCTGTAATACCCCTCCTCAAAAATCACTGTGGCTTGCCAAAGTTTTATGTAAAGCCACTCTTGCCCTTCTTTCTGAGGTCAATTCTTGAACATGGTAATTTAATTGCCTTTAGGAGCAGAACAGAGACTGAATTCTGAGCACAATGAGGTTTTCATGATAGGCAATTTGTGTCAACCTGTCACTCCATGGAAGGCGGAGATTGTGCAGCTCATGCTGGGCCAGATCCCATGAGGCATCATGGGGGGTTCTTAGCCTATGGTTCCCAGACCAGCAGCCTCCTCATCACCTGGAAACGCCTTAGAAACCAGACTGCAGAGTGGGCCCCCATGAGAGTGTAGAGTAGCAACATATACCCCAGAACTACGTTCTACCACTTTCCTGTCCTGGAAGCCTTTTTAAAAACACTGATGCCCAGGCTGGACCCCAGCTATCCTGATTCACTAGGTCTCCTGTAGAACCCAGCTTTTTTTTTTTTTTTTTTTTTTAATTTTACTGGGGATCAAACCCAGGGCCTCATACATGCTACGGCAAGCTCTCTACCACTGGGCAACAGCCTCAGCTTCAGCTTTGGGTTTTTTCTATGATTGCTTTTGAACTTTCCCAGGTGATTCTAGTCAGTAGCCAGGTAGATGCACTCTGGTCAACGGTCAGTGGCCAGGCGATCCTGTTTTTCCCAGGTTGTATCTCAAGCCCAGAATGGCACAGAGAGTATTTGTTGACTCCATTAGCAAGCCCATCAGTAATGGCCCTGAAGGTCAGATTTCTCCTAATATAACATCATGGGTTGTAGGAAACAAGCCTTGAAACCCACACACACGTCTTCTGCTTACCTGTAAAATATTCCACTTTTTCCTCCAACTGTCGGAAAATCTCGTCTGCCTCCGCTTTGCCAAACAAGACTGTGTAATCGCAGTCCAGGCCCTCGGCGCGAATGTGTCGCCAGCTGGGGCCTGCCAAGTGGGTGGCATTCCCCGGGGGGTCTGTCCTGGGCCTCTTCCTTGTGTGTCCTTTGTCGTCGCCCAGGGTAGCTCCTTCTTCTGTGCTCTGCTCTTGCTCCTCCGGCTTTCCCAAAAGGCTCCCTTGAACCTCCTTCCCCAGGAATCTGTCCATCCCTTCCTTCCACAGAAGAGGATGTCAGCAACAAGACACCCAGGAAGAGTGCCCAAGCTCTTTCCCTGATGAAAACTCAATAGGTCGGTTTTGAAGTGGTCTCACAGCAATGCTTCTATTTGGGGATGGAGCTCAGTGGAAGGACCCTTCGGTGTCTAGAATGTGCGAGTTCCTGGGTTCAATCTCAGGGTCTGCAACAAAGGAAACAGTTTCAGCTGGAAGAGCCCTAGGGACTTTCTGGCCAGAGTCTTCAGGCAGCACATCAAAACCGCTGGCTAGGAGTGTGGCTTAGTGGTACAGCATGTGCTTAGAGCATTGTGTAAGCAACTGGGTTCACTCCTGAGCTCACAAAAAATAAACAACAAACAAAAATACCAACCAGGTGAGAAAAGCAATCAGCTGAAAAGCTTGCAAAAACTGAAGCCGGAATCAGACAGGCAGTCAGTGTAGACAGGTAAACGGAGTCAGGTCGGATCTAGGAGGCCAATTTTGAGTGAGTCTGGGAAGCTGGAGACTGTCCCCTGAGGGGTCTTATCAAGAACCTGCCCCTGCTCCAACCTGTTGCCAAGGTAACCTGTCCCAGGAACTTCCCCTCCCTACAGGGAGCTGTAAGGTTGTTAATGTGTCCTGTCTACTCCATCCTGCCCTCCCCCTCAGCCCACCTATTTCCCACCTTTTGGCCACCCACGGAGCATTCCTGGGACTAGTCCTGGCTGCAGGAAAGAGTAAGATTAGGGAGGAAAGGCTGGAGATCAAAGGAAGCCCGAGACATATAAAAAGGACAGAACACCTCGCCTCTTGGGATACCAGCTGTGGCCCCTTCTCCTCCTGGAAGTCGGTGTTCCCCCCTTTTAAATAAACCCCTGCTTCGTACGCTTGCCCCGGCTGCTTCTCTAATGTTCAAACCTCAACGTGTGGGAAGCAGGACACGGATAACCGGCGGTGTCAAAACCTGACACTTGCACTTCACCCCCACGCGGAAAATTTTTAAAGAACACGCCTCCCCGTGGGAATCAGTATTTGCAGTCAAGTTTGGAAACTCCAGACAGGGAAAATGACGCCCAGAGGGAGGGGACAGGGAGTTTTGTCAAAGTCACCCACAAATGCAGTTCTCTATTCCTGTCCACTTTGCTGAGGAAGACACTCCTGGCTTCCCTCTTTCTCACCAGCATTAAAACAGGTCGATACGGCGACTCTCAAGGGGAAAAGACCCGGAATCCAAATGTCAATTAATGACGGTCAAACCCTCCTCGCCTTATGATAGAAAATAAGAACCGTAACACGAGCGTGCGGTGGGAGCTGGAGAGCTCTCTTTACACCCCCGGACCGCCCCTGCGTGGCTCAGAACCAGGAAAACACCACAGCACGTCCCCGCCGGCGGGAAAACACACTCACCCCGCCCGCGGCAGCTCAGTCGCGCTTGCGCGTAGGTCTCCTGGGGCAAGCTGGGAAGCGCAGGCGCATTGGTAAACTCAGTGGCTGCTGACCTCCTGGCGCCACCTGTCGGCCCCGGATGCATCGCAGGCACTGCTCTGTGCCCGGCAATGTCTGCCGCCTCTGGGCTTAATTGCCTCATCTGTAAAGTGGGGACTACAACCCCTGCCAAGAGAGGAAGTTGCAATGAAGTTGGGGGCTTTGTTTTAAAACTTCTTAGTATACAGTTCTGCAAATTTTGACAAAGCTACAATACTTTATAATCACTGTTGAAACACGACGCAAAGAAAAGACCACCGACTCCAATTTTAAATCAAATTAAAGCAAGCTTTTGTGTACACTGGAGCAGGCCAGGACTGTTTCTCTCCAAAACCCTGGGCTAGAGATCAGCCCCCCAGCTCTCCAGGAACAAGGTTTTATAGCACAAAAAGTTGCAAACAGGGGGGAGGGGGTGTCTTGAGAACTTACAGCCAACAGGATTTTGACAAGCATAGTAAAAAGACAGATTAATGATCTACATGGGAGTAAATTCAGATCTCAACATCAGAATTTATGAAGTGCCACTGAGATTTAGAGAGGGTTGTTATCTGGTCAGGGAAAACGAGGCATGAGTGAGTTCAAGGCACGGGCAGGAATTCCAAACAAGTTTAGAAATCTCAGTAATTTTGTAGTAAAACTGAAATTAATTTTTCATGACTTTGTGATGAGATGGCTCCCAATCTTAAAATGGAATTA